GGCCCACATGCACAAAACGGATGTGCTGGGAAGAGGCTCAGGAGTGGACACCGCTAGGGCAGTTTCGGGTTGTATTTGCCGTGAGCGCTGGGATTCTGATAACCTAAGAATGGAATAGTGTTCGCATAAGCAAATTTTCTTGGAAAGCTCATTATTTCCAAAGGGCAAGGGACCAAGCAGTCTTGTTCACGGTGGGGTGCAACTCTGTCCTCCTCAAACTCCTGTGCCTCTGTCCACTCAGCCCTGGCCTCCTCGGGAGCCCCGCTTTTCCTATAGTCCAGACTTTCTCGGTGTGAAGCTTCCTCATCTGCTTGACCCTGGAGAGCCCAGCCCTGTGGTGGCTTCGGGGGTGTTTGCTGAAGTGTATCCCCACATGGATCTCTAAGCAAAGATGGGCAATGAGAGCCGGCCAGTCCAGAACCAATTCGATTTCCTCTCATTATCCACTCGCCCAACACACGCTGATCGGGAATTCTGCCTTGTGATGGGCATGTTCTAGACAGGATGAATAAAGGTTGTTTGTGGACTTGAAATCTACAGAGAGAGTCAAATTTGAGAACCTGCAAAGGCACAAGGCAGAAAAGAGGTGGGCATGGTCAGATCATGTGAATCCCAAGTGTCTGGAGTGTAGGATGGGTAAGCATTTAGCGAGGACCGGCCCCTGGGCTATGACTCCATGTAGAATCTGCACACTGCATTATGTTTCAGCTGCAGCGGGAGCAATGGGGACAGCAGGCACTTTAAGCAGTAATTACGGTGGTGCGCCATGAGACATTCTGGGAGGGAACCAAATACGGTGTTGCTGCTGGTGGAAGAGGAGGGTGGGGAGGGAGTCAGGGCTCCAGGCTGGGTTAGTCCCACCTGCAGCCTTTTCGCCTCTCCCCCGACATTTGTGACACAGAATAACACTTGCCTTACCTAACCGGGTTGTTTTGAGGAGCCACTGAGATAGAAGTGAAAGAGCTTTGAAGATATTGAAACACAGAGAAAGACATTTCTAAAAACATTAAGATGTTTAGACAGTGGGGCCAACAATACCATTATTTTTAACATGGTATCGTTTCCCTCATTACTACATCCATTCCCCTGTGAAATTATTCTTTTGGAGGAAAGGCAATGGGAGGAAGTGGCGGAGCTGGGATAGCAGGAAGTAAACCCCTGCTTCAGCAGTGCAGAGCAGCAGGGCTTTGGCCTCCCTGAAGAGGACCTGGAGAGCAGGCCTGGCTGGCTCAGGAAGCGGCTCCGTCTAGTCTGAGAACAGATAGATCTGCCCACAAACCACTTTCAGCTACCCAGAGGAGCCCCAGGAAGTGGCCTGAATGCCAGTCTCAGGGGTTCCCCACAGAGGCAGGACACCGGCCCCCCACCCTCCCGCTGTGAATGGGAGTGGTTTCCAGGTGACTCATGTGAGTGAAATGCAAAACATGAAATAGAGCCTATTAGCATCATTCCTGTTGTGTGCTAACTTATCTCAGGATCAGAGACGGAAATAAGAAAAGGCTTGGCTTTCGTGTTCTCAGTACCAGAGCATTTCTGGTTCCTGCCCTTTTCTTCTCTGCCAAAACAACTGTTCTCCAGGCTTGACTTACGGAGTATGTAAAATCTCCACCCAAATTAAGGCTGCCACTATGGCTGGAGAGACAGGGTAGAGTCGTGGTGATGAGCCAGCTTTTGAGGGCCACGAGCATTTTTGTCCAAGCTCTGCCCAACACCAGCTCTATGATCTTGAGCAAGTCTCTTAACCTTTGGGGGTCCAGATCCTCTCTGAAACATGGAGGTAATCATGGCACCTACTGATGGCACCGTGAGGGAGCTCTTGAGCCTGCTTGGTCGTGGAGGAGGCAGTGCTGGGGGCCAAGAAGCAGACGCTTTTCTCCCTGGGCTCTCAGTGGTCTCCTCTGACCTCTTCCCCACAGGGCTCTATGTTCTGGTTGGAGCCGGGGCCCTGATGATGGCCGTGGGGTTCTTCGGGTGCTGCGGAGCCATGCGGGAGTCGCAGTGTGTGCTGGGATCAGTAAGTGGGGCGTTGGGTGCACGGTGGGGTGGGGAGGGAGAGGGGAGCAGGTCTGAAGGGAGTCGGGACATCTGGCCCCAGCCCAGCTCCTCCCTGCACTCTTGGAGGCCTTGGCCCGCACGCCCTCAATCTTGGTTTCTCCATCTCTTGCACAAGAATAATATTATCTTTGTCCCTGCCTCGTAGGAAAAGTGTGAGAAAAATGAGGTGTAAAGATGTTTTGAGAGGAAAAGTGCTTAGCAATTGTAAGGGGTGATTATGATTGTTCTTTTAAAAATAATATTTCCCAGTGAGTGAGGCAGCTGAAAGATCCCTATGGCCAGGGAAGTGCTGTTATCTACAAGCAAAGCATTTCTGTTTGGGATAAATAACCAAATATCCCTCTTCTGTCTTATTTTAACAAGCAACATCTGTTTTAAAAAAATAATAATAATTTCAATTATTATTGAAACTGCTATACATACAATGCCAGCGTAGCCTGGGAGAAACAAGGCAAAGGAAGAAGAGGAGCAGAGGGAGAGAAAGTGTTTGTATTTCCCCATGGGGAGTCAGAAACAGCAATGTTATTAGGCAGCCTCTCATTTCTCTTTATTCATTGTAATCTTTGGATTTTTTAACTCTGGTTGCTGCTTCTGATCTCTCGCTGTGTGAAATTTTTCACTTGTTTCTTTAGCCAGCTATTCTTCCTTTTTTTCCCCTGTCGCTGAGCATGTCTGTCTTGTTTATCACTGACCTTAGTTTGATCAGAGCAAACGCAGGAGGCTTGAACAGAAATCCGTCCAGAAGGACACGCCCACCTCCACTCCCGTCTCCTTGGAGAAGCCTTTCCAGACCACGAAGTCTCACATCGCACCCTTCCCCAAGCCCAGGCCCCATCAGTGACTCTCTATCTCCTGATCTTCTTTTATATCTTCATAGGCCCTTTTTGTTCATGAAGGTTTGTTTTTTGTTTGTTTGTTTTTAGGGACAGGGTCTGACTCTGTTGCCCAGGCTGGAGTACAGTGGCATCATCACAGCTCACTGCAGCCTTGAACTCTCAGGCTCAAGAGATCCTCCCACCTCAGCCACCCAAGTAGCTGGGACTACAGGCGTGCACCACCATGCCTGGCTAATTTTTTTATTTTTGTAGAGATGGAGGTCTCACTACGTTGCCCAGCTTGGTCTCAAACTCCTGACCTCAAGCGATCCTCCTACTTCAGCCTCCCAAAGTGCTGGGATTACAGGCCTGAGCCACTGTGCCTGGCCTCATCAAGTATTTATTGAGCACATAGGTGCCCGACACTATTCCAGGTGGTGGGATTTCTATATGACTGTCTGAAATTATCTTACCTTTTTATTCCTTTACTCGTTTATCATATCTTCCTCTGTCCAATATAAGGTCCATGATAGCAGAGACATTGGGATCTTATCTTGTTCTTCTATACCCGGCACCAAGGACAGTACTTAGGGTAGGATAGATGCTCAATAAACAATTGATGAATGAAGGACCAAACAAACTACACGAAAGTGACACAACCATTACGTAAGGGAAACTAAGGGACAAATGCTTCCTGCTGGATCAGTTCAGACTGATAACCTTGCCTAATGCTTTTCCAGTGGAACTAGAATCAAAGAGGCTAAATAAATGGAAAAGGTATTAAATTAATGAAATTAGTATTTTCTCTCCTCTACAGTTTTTCACCTGCCTACTGGTGATATTTGCTGCTGAAGTAACCACTGGAGTATTTGCTTTTATAGGCAAGGGTGTAGTAAGTAAAAATTACTTACAATGTATTTTTTATAAAGTGTTCTCTTTATGGCAAACTATATGAGAATATCAATACCCACAATGTTATTAAGAAACCAAATATCTTCCAATATTATAGTTTAAGCAGAACTTTTTTTAACCTAGAAGTGTACAGAACTGAGCATATGTATGTATAAATGTGCATGCTTGTATGTGCACACAATTTTTCTGAAGAGATAGTTTACAGTTTTCATTAGATTTATAAAGTGATTTATGATTTAAAAAAAAAAAAGCTAAGATTATCCTCAGTTTAAAATGGGGTAGGGGTAGATTACAGACTTTAAAAAGAGACAGGGGACAGAGGCCCCTGAGAGACTCCTCAGAGACTGAGTCTGACCTGCTGTGGGCTAGCGAAGCCAGTTTAGAGTCGCTGCCCAACTCCGGGTGATCGGAATAGGTGATCAGGAGGAACCACACAGGAAGTGGTCTTCTCAGAAGGGTAAAACATACTTGTGGGATAGAGAGGAATGGAATGGAAAAGAAGAAAAAATGGGACCGTAAGTTTGCTATATTTCAGATTAATTCATGTGCCACCAATATTGTGTTTATGAACTTATTTTAGACTAAAAAAATGGTAAACAGGTAGAATAAGTGAATATCACCTTTGGAATTTTTGAAAAATAGCTGGCTGTGTTTATAGGTTAGTTTAAATTCAGCTACATGTAGAAGTGGAATTGTATCTTTTGAGATCTCTATGGATTTGGGGTCACATACCTTTATACTAGAAAAAGCATTCTCTAAGCTTTCTATTATATGTGAATGTAGAAAGTTTTCCTTGGTGATGAATACCTTTTAAACCATGTCATAAAAAGACTTGAGTCCTTTTAACCAGTGGGGTACCAAGGTTGCAGAGGTCCTAGCCCTGGCCGTGCGTCAGAATCACCTGGTGGAGCCCAGGAATCTGAGGGCCAGTTGCTGCTGCAGCCGTCAGGTTTGGGAACCTCCACTCCTGAGAAATCTTTCTAGTCCATGAAGACTATTCTTTGTTAGTCTATCCTTCCATCTTCAAAAGCATCTTAGGAACTCTAGAATCTATAATATATTCCATATATGTAGAATTATCTTAAAATATAGTTAAACATATGGAAAGGCAGCATTTTTGAAGGGTATGGAAGAGGGGATTTTCCTTGATGAAAGGAGAGTGTTTGAAATGTCCCACTCACTGTTCCCTCAATTTTCCTGGCATTGTTTCAGGCTATACGACATGTCCAGACCATGTATGAAGAGGCTTATAATGATTACCTGAAAGACAAGGGGAGGGGAAATGGGACTCTCATTACCTTCCACTCGACAGTGAGTAACTTTACTTCTTCCTTGAAATCACATCTTCCGAAGATTATGTGTAAACCAGATTCTCTCTAATCACCTGTATTAAAATTAAAAATTCAGTAACGCCAAGTGGCAGCATCCTATTTTAGCCCTTAAAGAGCCATGACTTGCATTATGTGTAGAACCCTACAAGACAAAGAGGCCTGCCACACAGAGTGCACAAGAAGAAGTCAAGATATGTTCCCGAAAGACACAAAAGAGCATGAACAAGAACACGGAGAAAGCAGCCCAAATGAATATCAGGCTCCCTCAAAGAACAGCGTTGTGGTTAACAGAAACAAACGTGACCTTTAAGTCAGAAATGCTAATTTCTAGCTGCAGTTCCACCACTTAACAGCTGTGTGACCTTGAGCAAGGTACTTGGCCTCCCTGAGACCCACTGAGCTCCCTCATTTATTATATAAAATGAAGGGTCACAGGAGATAGCTGCATTCCCTCCTGGAACCTTCTGTGGCACTGCACCGTCAGTGGCATGCTCAGAGCTACATACAGGTAATCAAGGAAGGCTTTTCATAGAGAGAGGGGCCAGGCCAGAGTCATTCTGATCTTTTAAACGCTGTGGTATGGAGAAGTAGCTACGCACTCCTGGGCCAAGTGTTTTCACGGACCTGGTTCTTGTCTGTGACAAGACTGTCTTGGAGAGTGCCCACTGTTCGTGTGGTTTGGCCTCTGCTGCCCAAGGACATCAAGCAGCACACAGGTTCCTTTGTTTAAGGGGCCAGCCCTAAGGCAGGACACCTGTTTGCTGGCCAGTCTTCAAGCCTGGCCTGTCAGCCCCGGAGTTCGCTGTAGCCACTTCTCTGCTTCCCACACTGTCCCCAGTTAATGAGCCCTTGCTAAAGCTCATAAAATTGTAGCTCCACAGCGAGTTAAATGACTCCCGGTCTGAAAGAAGGAATCCAAAAGCCCCAGCTCCTGTCTAAACGGCAGCAATTTACACAGACACCGTCAATTAGCTTCTTGCCTTGTTTTGGTTGCCTTGAGTCACTTCCCATCATAAAACTCAGACGGCTTTAGAGAAGTCGTTTTCCTGTTTTGCTAGCATGATCATGTGATTCTTCATTCTCATTCCAGAAATGGCAGTTAGGGTGGCAGTGACGGGGCCTTGTCGCTGCTTCGCGGCCTGGGCACCCCGGTCCTTAGCGGGATGCCCAGACTTGTAGCTGCTGCTTCCCCCTCCCGTGTCCTAAAGTCTCTTCTCTGACTCTCTAGTTTCAGTGCTGTGGAAAAGAAAGCTCCAAACAGGTCCAACCCACGTGCCCAAAGGAGCTTCTAGGACACAAGGTAAGCTTCTACCAAGGTTCCTACCCTACCCTGTAGTGTGAGGTGGCTTTGCCTTCGGCGTGGGGGCAGGAGGCTCAGGTTCTACCTCTGAGGCGTTCTAGGAGGCCCTCTCCCAGTGGCTTCGGTGCCTCGGCTTTATTCTGTGTAAAATAGGCGAGAAGCAATGCTTAGTCACAGTCCCTTGGTACCCAGGGATGATGGTATGCTGACCTAGCAGTAATGATGCTGCATGCTTATAATTAGGCTCACCAGGGCTGGAGGTGTGTGCCCTGAGAAGGTTGCCCACACCTCTCCATGCAAGTCACAGCACTGATAAATGTCTCATTGATTAAGTGCTGGGTGTCAGGCACTATGCCAGTTTCTAGGAACTCTAAATTGAGAAAGGCCTATCCCTGCCCTTAGCAGCCTTGCAGACTAACCAGGGCAATAGTGATGTGTGAGAAGCCTGTACAGGGTACCCCAGAAACAGTAGAGTGAGGAAAGCTTCATAGAGGAGGGGATCCTTGAGCTGAGTTTTGACAGAGGAAGGTCATCCCAGGCCCAGAAAGCAGCAGGAGCAGAGGCTTGGTGGTGTGAAACTCCAGGACTGCAGGAAAACAGGGAGCCCCAAGGGAATGGTGAGCAACGTCTTAGGAGAGGCAAGCAGAGGCAGGACTTTATACCTGGAGGTTTGAGGAAGCCATTGCTTTCAGTGGAGAAGGAACATAATCAGTTTTGCATTGTAGGAAGAATGCTCAGGCTGCTGGGCTGAAAGGTAGAATAGAAGGCTGGAGATTAATGAAGGGGGACTGCCTTGTGGTCACCCTGGTAAGACAGTGGCCACAGCTAGTCACAAACAGTAGGGATGGAGAGGAAGCAACAGATTCAAGAGATGTTCAGAAGGTAAAATCAACAGGACTGGGTGACTTACTGGATATAAGTGGTGAGTAAAAGGAAGGAGGCTAAGGTTTCCAGATTCTGCTTGGGTGACTGGGTGGGTAGAGACTCCACTCACCAAGAGAGGTGAATACAGGGAAAGGAAGCAGATGACAATTTCCATTTTGGTCAAGTTTGTACTCCAGGTGCCTGTGGGACTTACGAGTAGACTGCGATGAAGACACAGGCGTGGGCATCTTAGCATGTTAGCAGTAGCTGAAGCCGTAGGAGTGAGTGAGAACACCCAGGGAGAGTGAGTAGAATGAGTATGGGCACTGTCATTGAAGGGATAGGCTGAGGATGAGAAGTGAGAACAAGAGGCTGTGAAGGAGGAGTCAGAGGGTCAGGCAGGTCCAAAGACAGTGGCGTCCAGGAAGCCGAGGGAAGAGATGGTTTGTCCACACTGTAAATGCTGGGAAGAGGGAAAGCAAATGAAGACTGGAAATCATTTGTTGGATTTGTTGCTTAGAAGATTGCTAATGACTTTTGTCACACAGCTCCAGTGAAATAACTGGGGAAAGCACAAATACCATGTGCGGGAATGAAAGGAGAAACCGTGGGATTGTGGAGACAGTGATGTAGACCCTTTTAGGCCCTCAGCTGTAAAGGGGTGGGTGAGATTTTAGCTCCAGCTTGTGTCCTGAATCACCCACTGAACGCTTCCTTCTGCCTGGATGAAATGAACAAGACATGGCACTGCCCTCAAATTGCTCTCGTTGGCTGGGAGACGTGCTAGGGAGCCACTAACGCCACACGGCAGAGTCAGGGCAGCACCAGAGGGAGCACAGCGACTCACCTGGGGCATAGGATTCCATTATTCATGGGAGGCTGCCCTGGTGTAATTCTTAGGATGAATTTTGAAGGATGAATAGGAGTTCAGTAACCAAACAAAAAAGAGTGGGATATTCCAGACAGAGGGAATAGGGCAAAGGCACGCAGGCAAGGGAAGGTAGTTGTTTTCAGGTAAGTGCCTGTGGCTGGGAGCCCCAAGTGCCTGTGGGAGATGAGTACTTCTATGAGGAGAGAGTATTCTTAAAGGGCCTTGGATACTCTTGCGAAACCAACAGTCTAGGCTTTGTGCTGCTAGCCTCGGAAGCCGTTGAAGGCAGGATCTGAGATGGGATTTGCATTTGGCTGACTTTGCTCTGGTGACAGTGTAGGGGGCTGATGGAAGATGAATGATGAGGAGTGGAGGAGACCAGTGTGGGAATGCTGCTCCCCTCATCGTCAGCCAAGAGCTGTTAACTGGTACAGGCCAGGCTGAGCAGCAGGAATTGAGAGGAGAAGGCCATTTAGAAAGCAAAATCTACAGGACTGGTGGACAGTTAGAGATCAGAGAAGAGCGGAGAATCACTGCTGGGTTTCTGACTCCAACACCTACATAGATGACAGTGTCATTTTATTGAGGTAAGGAATGGAGGAGAAGGAGCCAATTATGGGGAAAAAATGAGTTTAGTGTTTAACATGGTGATGTTGAGGAGCCAGTGGAACTTCCGAGTGGAAATATCCAGTAGGCAGTTGGAAAATCTGGTTTGTGGCTCAGGAGACGGGTTCGCGTGTCAGTGCTTTATGGGAATCTTAAAGCTATAGATTTGGATTTGACCCATTAGATTTGGAAGAAACGAAGGATGAGGATAGAACCCTGGGGAACAGCAACATTTAAAGGTGGGCAGAAGAAGAGTTGCCAAAGAAGGAAACTGGGACGAGCAGCCAGGCCAGGTGAGGAGGAGGGAACGGTTGCCAGGCCGGGGCTGCCGTTGAGTTTGGTTCAGTATTGATCAACTACCTACCTTATGTGGGGCACGGGGGACACACAGACGAACGAGAAAAAGTCCTTACTCACAAGGGACTTGTAGTCTAATAGGAGAGGTGGACACAGAAATAGACACAGTGCGGTAATAGAGGAATGCACAGAGGTGAGGCCAGAGGCTGGGGAACCAGAGGAAGGCTGACTAGAGGTAATGATGTCTCAGCTAAATCTTTAGAACCGAGAAGGAATATGCCAGCACTGGGCGTGGGAGGGGGAAGCCTGCCTGCATAGGGAACCGTGTTAGCAACGGCACGGAGGCAGAAATGTGATGGTTTGTGTGGGGAGCTGAAAGCCCAAGAAAGTCCGCCAAGATAACTATTGAAAAGCTGATAGAATTTCCTTTAAGGAAGTAACTGGTGACTTGGTGTGAGGGACCAAGTAAGGACAGAGCCCAGGCTGCAGGAAGTGAGACGCGAAGAGAGAGGGCACCCTTTCAAGTAGTTTGACTTTGAACCAACGACCCAAAAAAAGAGTTCATAAAAGATGAAATCCAAAATATGATTAAACACATAAAAAATGTGGGCACTTAAAAGTAATCTTAAAAATTAAATAGCTAATTAAAACGAAAAGATGCTGGTGTTTAATCTGTGAAATTGGCCAAGTTTTTTTCCCTTAGTAATAATATAGTTTTGGCAAGAATGATGTAAAATGAGCTTTCTCGGAGAAATTGATACAATAGTTTTAGAGACAGTATGACTATGTAAGACTGGAGAGTTAAGTGTGTTCATGCCTTTCGATTTAGAAATTCTGCTTCTTGGAGTTGATTCTCAGGAAAAGGAATCAGAAAGGTAGACAGAGATATTTGTGCAACTGTAATCATTGCGATATTATTCATGAGAACAAAATGTTGGATAGACCCTTAATACGTGACAGTAGAGGATTGTCTAATTAATGGTACATTCATATGATGAAATGTTTTACAGCCATCAAGAATCATGGCTTCAAAGAATTTTTAGTGAAATAAGACATTTTTGAAGTTGTAATATTAAGTTAAAAAGCACAGTTGAATATAAAGAATGAACTAAGTATGTGGGTGTGTTTGTGTGTGCAAGAATCGCCAACAATGTTGGTTATTGTCTCTAGTGGTGGGAGGACAAATGTTTCTCTTTTTTGCACATCTCTTTTCCAAATTTCTACAATAAACACGCGTTCCTTTGGTGACTAAGTAAAGCCAGTCCATGCTTTGTTCATTTGTTTTTCACAAAGAGAAGCTGGCAATGAAGGAAAGGGCCTGTGGCCAGAGCTAGAGGAGGACGGTGTTGTGAGGGCTCGTCTGTTTAGATTGAAGAACTCGAGCAGGTGCTATATGATGAGTGAGAATGTCAGCAGAGAAGGAGAGTCTGAAGGTGGAGGAAGGACAGAAGGTAACTGATGGCACGGGCTTCCCAAGGAGCAGAGAAGGAATAAGCCCCAGCGCAGGATGAGGGTTAACTTGCAACAGAGAAGGGCACCTCTTTGGTTCTGGTGAGAGAAAAAGCAATTAAGAGTGGTGCTGCCTTGCTCCCTTCGTGCGCTCGCTACCTGCGACAGAGCCTGGCACTGAAGGGAGGAGCATCTAAGTGTGTAGGAGAAGAAGAGGAAGGTTGAGAGAATTGCTATAGGTTGACCCCTGCTTTCTCCAGTAAGTAAAGGAGCCACTGTCTAGAGCAGCGGTTTTCAAACTTTTACCAGAATGTACTATAGTTATTTCCTCTCGATCTGTGTTCTTCTCTAAACTGTGAGCTCCCTGAGAGCAGAAGAAACTGTGTCCCATTATCTCTGCTTCCACCACCGCCTCCCAGGGATTGGTGCCAGGTAGATGCTCAAGAAATGTGTGTTGACTATGTGAATGATGAATGAACGAAGTATCATAGGAGAAAGAGGAGAGTGGTGAGGGTTCCATGTAGTTTATGTGGGTTTCAGAGGGAGCTGACTAGCGATGAGTAGAAGGATCTGAGCAGCCTGAGGATACCTTGGATTGAGAGCATCCCTCTTCTTAAGAGGACTCTGAACAGCTTTTGAAGCTGGAGAAACTAATAATGGTTACAGGTGATCTATTCTGCTCCCTGTCCAATTTTTCCTCCACCCATGAAAGTCCTTTGAACCCACCTTGCACGGGTCTTTTATGGGCACAAATGAAAGGATAGGGACCCACCCTGCCCAGCCCAGTCACCAGAGAACAGAATGGTCCTCTAGCTCCCAAGACTTGGCTTTCTTAAGCATTGGCTTTCCTTTGTTTAGTTTGAACCTGTACGAGCGTTTTAGTTTCTTGATAGGTAATGACTACCTTGCATAGTAATTGGATCAAGTACATAGAAAGTCTTTTAAACTGTTAATGACACTATGAAAACAAGGGGGTATTATTTTAAGGATATTTTAATTATTTTTCTGTGCTGAATGTAAACACAGGCCCCAAATTCTTTTTTTTTTTTTTTTTTTTTTGAGACAGAGTCTCACTGTGTTACCCGGGCTAGAGTGCCGTGGCGTCATCCTAGCTCACAGCAACCTCAAACTCCTGGGCTCAAGCGATCCTCCTGCCTCAGCCTCCCGAGTAGCTGGGACTACAGGCATGCGCCACCATGCCCGGCTAATTTTTTCATATATTTTTAGTCGTCCAATTAATTTCTTTCTAATTTTAGTAGAGACGGGGTCTCGCTCTTGCTCAGGCTGGTCTCGAACTCCTGAGCTCAAACAATCCGCCCGCCTCGGCCTCCCAGAGAGCTAGGATTACAGGCGTGAGCCACCGCGCCCGGCCAGGCCCCAAATTCTTAAATGCCTCAGATACTAGGGAAATAGCTTCCTCCAGCCAGATTTCAGGACCCTGAAGCAGCCGTTGGCCTAACCAGGAAAATCCCACCAAAAGGAGAGGGTTGTATTCTTTTTCCCCAAACTACATTTTTGCTTTAAGGTTGTCAGGATGATGTTATCCAAGAGGAATGGTTTACATATGAGTAGAAGCTGACGTGGATTAACTCACACAGGATGATCTGTAGTGATGGAAAGGATTGGATGAGGGTAATGATTCACACGTACAATCAGTTTTTATTCTTGACTTTTTTTTCCCAAAACAGAATTGCATTGATGAAATTGAGACCATAATCAGTGTTAAGCTCCAGCTCATTGGAATTGTCGGTATCGGAATTGCAGGTCTCACGGTGAGAAAGTTCCAGAACTTACATTTTTTGCCCCCTAAGAAGCCTTGAACCTTTGCATCTTATTTCTGTTCAAGTGTGATATAGCAGTATCTTAGGAGAGAATTCTCATAAAGAACAAAGACCTTTGTTCACAGTACATCTTCTAAGAATAAAGCTAATTAAATTTTAATACACCAATACTTAGTCCTCTAAAATATAGTGCAAATTTGAACTTTTACCTAATTATGACCGTGAGTTTATCATTGTGGTAACTTCCCATTTTAAGGCCACCAATCTTAACCTAGGTAAGTGATTTTCAATTCTGGGGCTCTTTCTACTGTTGCAAATTCAAAATAACATAATGTCAGGTTAATCTATCTCACCTAGGATTTGAAGAGTCAGCATAGCATAGTGATTAACAGGGTGAGCTCTGGCATCACAGTCTAGATTCAAATGCTGGCTCCGCTACTTACAAGCCCTGGGATTATAAGAAACTTTCTTAATTTCTCTATGCCTCGGTTTCCTCATCTGTAAATTGGGGGATTTAATATACCAACCTCATAAGATCATTGTGAAGATTAAATGAGATACTGCATATTACAGATTATGAATTAATACATAAAAAGTGTGTGGAACATATAGCATTCAATAAATGCCAGCTCTCTATATAATCTGAGTGTTCCCAAACCCAGAATCCAGGCAGAGGGACTAGCATATATGAGAAGGTGTGAAGCTCAGTACTTCTAAGGTGCAGAAGAAGAATGTGCGGGAAGAATTGATAGCAGCAGATGGGTATAGTAGGATTAGCAAGAGATGGAGATGGAGAGGCCATCGGGTCCCCGTCATTGAGGTCTTCGTGTGCCCTTCTGAGAGGCTGGGCTTCATCCTTACAGAGAGAGGAGAGCCGCCGAGGGTCAGAAGGACCTGTGGTGAAGGATAAGGAAAGGTTAGAGGGAGGCAAGATTGGAGTCAGGGAGGCCAGTTCGGAGGTGATCTCCGTTGTCCAGGGCTTGGGCTGTAATAGCTAGTGGATAAAGTAGCTCTCTCTGCAGCCCTCTACTAGATTAATTGATGGCCTAAAGGCAGGGGCTTTGGGGATTGTGAGAAAATCGATAAACTGGCAGTTCTCAGGGAACATACAAGCACCTTTCCCCTTTTCTGTGTTTAGACCACAGAGGAGTGCGACAGTGACTGGAAATACTATGCTGAGGACCTCCAAACCCAGGGACATCCCTCAGGCCCTCCCCACCTGCTCTGGGGTTAGCCTGGTGCAGTTCCGCAAGCTCCCCCAAAGACAATCCTGAGGCAGGAGGTTTGAAAACGTTCCACATAACGGAGGTATCAAATAGACCCTCCTAACAATCCTACAGTCTCAACAAACGAGCCTCCTGGAAGCAGTCTCCCCTGACTCATATCAGCAGCAGGCTGGGACGGAAGAAGTCTCTTTCCAAGGAGCCCCTTCAGAGCACAGGAGGGTGGGGTAGGGATGTGTCCAGCCTTACAACCATATGAGTTGTAAGTTTACATATTTTCCTAATTTTTTGTATTTTCTTATTTATTCACCTAGAGAATTCTTCTTCACAGACTAAGTACTACAGTTTTCACCACTTAAAATAAGTAAAACAAAGTCCTTCATAATTCAATATTATCTTATGAGCATCCTTGGCCAAACCAAAATAAACAAAGAAAAGCATCTTCTCCCAATTGTGTGCACACAACAGAAACAAGTTCAGGCAAAGGAGAAGTGCGTCGTGGGGTGTCTCGAATCAGCGGCCCCAGAGTTTCCTTTAATTCTTTTTTTTTTAAATTCTTTTCTTTATAAGGTGAGAGTTGCACAGTGTAATCAGTTAACTAAATGTCCATTAGCTGTCTCCCCTGCCACACACTGGCATTGAGTCCTCTCAGCCAGAAGCTTGAAATCCTTCTCCTGGCTATGTCCTGACCTAAGTCTGCCCCTCCCCTTCCAAAACAACTGGTCATTCATACTTGGTCGAATTTAGCATTTATAGATCCCGGACTGACTTAGGATGGAATTGAGGAGAGAACCAGAGAGTTACGATACTGAATTTTTAAAACAAATGTTGACAGCAATTTATAAAATGGTGCCCACAGATAGGATTTCACAGGCTCTACAAAATTGTAGGGGAAATGATTGAGGACAAGAAGGATCTTTGAGCATTCTTCTATTCAGACCATGTAAGTGGATCTTGATTTCACCCAACTATTTAACTTCTCAGAGAGCTGTCCAAGAGGTAGAAGAAGTCAGTAATATCATAGTTCAAATACCTGTTATACTTTGGCAAACTGAGTTAAACAGTTAAACATCATTTGTACTTGGAAATGGACAAGAAATGAAGTGATGCTCCACTTTTTAATATGTGGTCACTGTTGTAAAAACTTAGAGCTTTTCCAACAATAGAAACCTATTTAGACCACAAGCATATTTAAACAAGTGGTTATGAACACATTTTGCAAAATGAATATATAAAAGAGATCTTGGATTAACCTGAAATAAAATTCCAAAACTAGTAGTATATCAGTCTTTCACAATTATTAAGAACTGTTCTGTAATTCTGAAACAGAGCCCTTTTCTTACAAAAGAGCATTGTTATTATTTTTAACAACAATAATATAATAATTTCAAGTAGAGTTAATATGAAAAATCTTTACCCAGTAGCCAACATTAAGTAACATATAAAAATGTTATTTATAACCAGTAATTCCTGCTTATAATTACTTGTTAACTTAAAGTAGATACCCAGGGTGTTTGTTGATCTTTTTATAATTCAGTACACATTTAAAAGTCACTAACGAATGGTTCCTTCTGTTTCAGATCTTTGGCATGATATTCAGCATGGTCCTTTGCTGTGCGATACGAAACTCACGGGATGTGATATGAAGCTGTATACTTCTACATGAAAATTGCAATCTAGGGCTTTCATACCAAATGTCACAGGAGCTGTCTCTCAGCTCATTTTTAATATTCAAATGACATTAGGATCTAAAATAATTTGCTGTCAATTGTACATTTGCACATGTATGTATGTTTGGCTCATTACTGGTTTACCCCTTGAGTGACTGCCTCTGTATGTTGACTGAGAGCGTATTAATGTGTGATCTGTGTTTCTGGTATATGCATTGCACAGAATGAAAGCTGTCTGCTGGGAATTCCTGATTCTTGTTATGTAAGAAGAACAACCTATTTAACTCCCAGAAAAAGATCAAGAAATTTTGAGAAACTTTTAAAACTTAGCTACTGATAAAAAGTGATAATGGGTCAGTTTCTCAGACTCTAGCCATTGAAAATTAGATACAGCAAATTCAGGGATTTCTAGTTAATGGAAGCAATAAGCTACAGGAATGGAGAGATCACAGTGGAGTGTTAAAATTGACTGTGTCTGAGTTGGGTGTAAGGGTTTCCTGGGATTTTTTATATACATCCTCTCCCCAGAATACAGTAAACCACAGTTTTAGAACTGAACACATCTGTAAAACTAAATATAGCATGGAAAATCTAATTTGAATAAGTCATGTTTTCCTAGTATTTAAAAACAACAACAAAAAAAAACTTTCTCTGGAAAGAGAAGTCACACAGACAACCATGTGCCCTATAAAAGTGAGTGTTTATAGGACTAAAAAATCTTTTAACAACTTTTTAAGGAAATATTCGTTCTTATACAAAGACATGTAAATATTGCTTTATTACTTCCTTTTCTGACTCTGAACTACTGCAACCCTCCCATCCCCAAAACGGCTTTTATCTCAAATTCTTCTGTATTCCTCCAAATGTAAGGACAGAAAGACTAAAGCAAGATATCTGGCAGTTTCAAATTGTGAGAAAGAGAATTTTTACTGGCGTTGTATCTTTGAAATACCTCATAACTTGAGTTTACATATTTTCCTAATTTTTTGTATTTTCTTATTTATTCACCTAGAGAATTCTTCTTCACAGATTAAGTACTACAGTTTTCACCACTTAAAATAAGTAAAACAAAGTCCTTCATAATTCAATATTATGTTATGAGCATCCTTGGCCAAATCAAAATAAACAAAGAAAAACATCTTCTCCCAATTGTGTGCACACAACAGAAACAAGTTCAGGAAACAGATATTTTTATATATACACACAACACAAAAATATGTTCTTTCTGTGAAAGTCCCTATGAAAATAAAATTTTCAGGACTTTTTGGAGGTGAGGAGGTCTTAATTCTTGAGTTTAAGTATGTAAACCCAAATTTAGGATCTAAATTGGCATGTTTGTCAGTAATTTTTAACTAGCAACTTGTTACTTTTAATAAATCATAGATCCTTAAAAATTACATTTTAAAAGGCCACACAAAAGTTGGGGGACTTTGGAAAACCCCAAGTGAACTTCTATACAAATGAGAACACAAGTGTTTGGTTGTACACTAAAGGAAAGTATTGATATCATGCTCCCAAGAAACTTTCACAAAACGTTTTGTTGATATAACTGCTTGAAATAGTCTCACTCCCATGTAGAACCACGTTTCTCTTTCTGCCATACTTACTACTGCTACTAACAATGGAGGAAACTTTTCTAGGAAAAAAGATTGGAAGCAAGCTAAAAACTTAATTGTGCATAGCTAGTTTACTGTGTCTATAGCTAAAGAAAAGATTATTTTAAGAAAATCACTTCATGAAATAAATATTTGTACCCCACTAGTTGAGAAATGTCACTTTTTACGCAAAGAGCATACAGTCCAGCTCCCTTAGTAGCTTTAGTTCATCTGTCTTCCTGCAGACAGGAAAAAGGCCCAAGTACATACTCAGGTTCCTTCCAGCACAGAATCATCTCTGGTTCCACAAAAATGTTTCATTT